TTATTCTACCCGAAAACTTGCCAGTTTAACTGTTTTAGAGTTAAGAGTAAATCCTTGAGTGTCGCTGTTGGACACAATGTAGAAGCGTGGATTCATTCACAGCACGCACCAGAACAAGTTGCTAGGAAAGGCCTTTATTCCCTGAACTTTTCAGACTTTTATAGGGTATTACGCTACAGGTTTAATGTGATTGGTAAAGGGAACACCACCTCTTATCCCATTGGTGGGATAAGAGAAAAACACACTAACCACAGCTGTACAGAACTGTTTTGAGAAAATGAAATTGTTTACAAAGATAGACCTTGAGCGAGAGACACTCTCAAGAGACTTTCCCTTGGGAACAGGTCAGCCACTGTCAGGCTGTAATTCTTTCAGGCTCAGAAAAATCAGGTCCGCACTGGAGGATTTTCCTACCTTAGCCTTTAAACAGACATTCCCTGGTAGGGAGTTGGAACTATAAGCTCTTTAAAGTCCCTTCTAACACAAACCATTCTGTGATTCTGATTCAGGTTGCTGTGTCTGCTGCATAAAAGATGTTGTAACATGCCAAGTTGTTAATTTTTTAGATGTTAAGATGCTTTCCCATTAGCAGTCAACAAGAGTATAATCTATACAAGAGTATAATCTATTTATGTCTCTGGAAATAGAACTATGAGGGTGTGCTGGAGCCAAAGTATTACTGGCAACCAAGAGAGTATCAGGGATGTTACTCTTCAAGTAAAGCTCACCACTGAACACAGCCAACAGTGCCATCTGCTGCAGAATGCAGCATTGGCTCATTCTCAGAATGGACAGAAAGAGACCAGGTTGTTGGAGAATCCATCTCTGACGGCCTTACATCATCTAAAGAACAGAAGTGCCTGCCACCCACTACCAATATCCTTACTATTAGAAGACGGGAGAGTTCTGATATGATCCACACTCATGCCAGTAAGATGAGGAAGAAGCTTAGGAGATAAACCCTCAGTTCCAGCAACCTCTTCATGGTTTTTTGGAAGTGGAAAATATTATTTTAAGGAAAATATTTCCTTTAACGTATTAATCCCTATTCTCTGGGCCTTTTTCCATCATGTCTGGACATGTTCTCAGGTTCTTGGGACTACATAGGGAAATCCTGAGCTCTTTAGTGCAATTTCTGCATATCAGGGTCTTTTTCAGACATGTGGGGCTGTTCCCAGCATTTCAGAACAACCCTTCAGCAGAGTCAGGAGCTTAACCCAGATCCTTGGCAGAGGAGCTGCCAGGTGGTCTTACTCCACACAGCATATAGACTGGACTAGGCTGAGAATGAGAGGGAGGAAGGGAAGGGAGGGGGCCAAAGCAGGTAAAGAAAAAGAGAAGGGAAAGATCACTTCAAAACTCTGGAAAGGGGGATCAAAGTAAAAAAAATGCAGTGCCCACTGTGTTTCTGCCCAGAAAGCTGTTGTCTCTTCAGAGCTACAAGTTTGCAAATAAGGTGTATTCAGTCAGTTTAGGCTTAAGTCTCTCCTACACCATTTAAAAAAGGAAAACCAGCAATGCAATAAATTTGTGTCAAGACTTTTTTTCTAGCAAGCAGTATTACCTCTTTCCCTTAATGAAACATTCCTATCTTGAAGATAAAAAATTACCTTTTTTATGTTCTTATTTCTGAGAAGACTCTATCAATAACAGAATGTGGATCAATTTGTAGGGGAAGATGAATTAATTTCTTCTCAGCACCCAGAGAGGACTGGAAGTTTCTGTGGATCTGTGTAACTTCTTTCACAGGCTAAAGTTTGCTGAGACAATTGCTTGTGGAGTCCAGTTTCTAGTTAAATCCCAGAACAGATCCACATTAAAAGTAAGCCTTATTGTAGAAATAAAGAAGTATATAAAGCTGAGATAGCTTCTCTCTGGGCTGCATGCACAGAAGGCAGGAAGGTTTTCTAATGTTTTCCATGGCAGCTGGAAGCAAGGATCCATTTAGGATTAATTCCCCAAACCTGGAATGGTTTCAAAATGTGAGCTTCAGCAGAGAAATCTTGGAAAATGCTAAGTCAGGAGTACTCTGGAGTGGTGTTTGGCATAGGAAGCTTTTTATTTGGTCAAGAGCAGCCACTTCCAAGCATTCTCTGAGGAAGTAAGCACAGAATCACACATTCAGCAAGATTTAGGTAACACTGTCACTGAGTAAGCAGGAAGATTCAGTAGTTTCACATATCACTTGTAACAAACTAGCTGGAATCAGGCAAAAACATGGACAAAATCCACATACACATTTCCAGAAAGCAGATGATTTTTGGCTAAAGGTGAATGCAATGGTAACAAATTCCCCCACTAATACAATATGTGTAGGTCAGAGCATAGGATCTAAATATCACGTTACTGCAGTTAGAGATTTCCTATCCATAATTTCTAAGGATAATAAGGAACCTCCTTGGAACAGTACTATAGTACATTCACCTGCTCCTTTGGAAGATGGTGTGTTTATGCTTCTTCATTTTCCATGCTGGGAGTGAGAATGATATAAAATGGAGGCTTCCTTTAGAGCAAGGAGGTAAGAGGCTTCTTTTGGTAGAGGAATTTGCAGTAAACCACAGTTCATCTAACAACATATAAAGACACTTCTACTGCTGTCGTCAGTAACTAGTAGCATCACATGCTCAACTCCTTTGCTGTGAAGTGAGGTTTCTGCACCATCAGGTGAGTATATGTTTACAAAAGTAAAGGCCATTTATATATTAAGAGACTCAGTTATTTTCAATTAAAATCATTGTCAGAGATTCTCTGACAGGCTTAGGCAGCAATGCAAAACTGCCTGGAGCTTTGGGTTGAGACCACTTGATAAAACACATGAGTGGTCACACATCCCTGTCCGTCTCTCACAGCCCCATTCTTCACGTTATACTACAGAATGTCAGCTACAAGAACATGACTCAAGAGTTATCATTAATCACGTTGTAACAACACACGTTTTTTCCTGGGTTCCTCCAGTCCTGACACAGGTCAGTGGAAAAAGATTCCTGCTTGTGCAAACAGTCTGTGTTTACCTCTAGGGAAAAAGGTAACTTATAACACAACTGCACTGATAGGACAGCAGCAATTGTAATGCTGCCAGATAGCAGATGGAAGCAGTTTTGCTGTGAAGAATGTTACATTAAGGTCTTGTTATAGAGAGGAAAAGTGGAAATCACAAGTCATCATTTTACAGGCTTGTGTTTATCCATTCTAAGTTATTATTTAAGTACCATTTCATTACAGTGTTCCTGCACAGATGAAGACAGTAAAATTAAGGTACAAACCACATGCTTTTATCTGCTTGTGCCCTCATCTCTGATCCTTAAGGCAAGAGAACAGAAAAATATTGCTTTGTTAGCCGTTCTAGAAAATGCCAGCCAAGTGTCAGACATGTACTTACGCCATTACACAGAAGTCAAGTCACAGAACCTTTGAGACTTAATGGCTGCTGTGTACTTGGATTTTCCTCTATTTGGAGGTACTAATGAGACTGCGCATCAGTTTGTGATATATATAAACAGAATACATGCCCTATCTCTGCCCTACTGTCTCATGCAGCTGTTGCCATGTTCTCTCAATGTGAGATGTTTTTATGTGTAAAAACAAGAGTGCTGGAAAACAACCTCTTGGGAAAACACCAAGGATTGTTCTCCAGCCGGGGGGTGCTCCACCAGAAACAGTAACCTCTTTGTCAGGGACATCAGCTGAATATGTACAAACTCACTGGGGGTTTGTTCTGGGCCTCTCTGCTTCAGAAACAAAATGAGAATCCACTGTGAGATTGTCCCTATCTATAGAATTATTGCCACCCTTCCAAGGTAATACTTCTGAGCGCACACCAATGAGGCAAATTTGTGGAGATTTGCCAAACTATTGATGCTGGGTATTGTTTTTCATATGGCCTTTTCTACTCTGAAGGTGTTCAAAACCACTTCCATCCCTGAGGTGACAGAGTAAGGTCACAGGTCACCTTATACCAGCCCATGCCTTTGCATGCCTGTTGCTCCCAAGTAAAGACCAAGCAGCATCTGCTCCTCCAAACACCCTCCTGATGTTCCTGTTTGACCCAAGCAGAACACAGGTAAAATGAAGAAATATTTTACTCCCTAAAATAAAAAGCACAAAGCATGCAGAGAACTGGTTACACATTTCAGGCCTCAGTCTGTTTGAATGATCTCCAGTAGCAAATGGCTGTACACCACCCTCTTCTGTGGCTCTGGAGAGATCTGTGACTTTAAATTCATAATTGTTATTTGGCATGGTTTTACCTCCCTTTTCAGAACAGGACTGAACATCCTGACGAAGTTCCCTGCAAGCAAAGTGGGTTTCCTGTAAAAAGTCATTCCCAGCTATTGATATCAAATGCCCCTGAGAGCTCAGCTGAATTTGGCTGCAAAGAATTTGCACAAACCATGACTAACTGAGAGGTGTTCTCAGAATACAAACTGTCGAGTTTAATCTACCCTATTGTGCTGGTACCAAACTATGGAGCTGCAGCTGGCTAAATGAAGAGCCCAGCTTTGCTGTGTGCATTATAAGCAGGACAGGATTTCACAATAGCTTTGCATAACCCCTTTGTGCAGATATCCAAGGGCTAGGAGGACTGATTAACCTCAAATACAGCTCAGAACAGCCAGGCATCAGAGAACACTGTCTCTTTCATAACATGCCAGCAAAAATCTCGTGAGGATGGTCTCAGCAGAGCATGCAGCCAGATTTCTACCTACCCTTTACCTCTGCAGCAAAAAGAAGCTGGCATTCTGTATAGTATCAACTCTCTCATAATTCAAACTGAGTGGTGGGAGAGATATGTTATTTATGTGAAATCCTTTCCCCCAGGGCACAAAACCTGCCAGTGACCCTGTCATAAGTAGCCACACAGCCACGGCGAAAGGGAAATTACACAAGAGTGCAAAACTGTTTATGGAGCCAGATCACACACTAGTTCCAGTGCTGCCTTATGGGTAGTAGGTGGGGCTTTTGGCATTTGCGTGGGGGCTCTCCAATGAGACTCACAGCAGGACAAGGCTCCAGCCTTCTGGTTTTTTTTAACAGCAGCCCCCTCCAGTAGGGTTGGGGCATGGGAGGAGCTTGCTCAAACTCAAAAAATACTGACATGCAGCACCTTACGAGGATGTGCAGCCTAGACAGGACACACTGCAACATCTAGAAGGACAAGGACAGCTGAAACTGTAAGTACCTCTACCTTCTCCGCTTCTTTAATAGCACTAGTAGTTTGTGGAGTGGCATATTCTGGCTGCACTTGTGCTAGCAGTGTAACCTTACTGCCTGTCCCTTTGGCCTGTGTATTAACAGCTGCAGAAAAAAAACCTAAGCACCCTATAGACATATTTATAAGAAGAAATGGAAATTTCAAAGTTCAGCTTTCCTGTACATCTAAAAAAATTCAACTGTATCTGGAAGATTCTTCCATTTGTCTCTTCCATCCCAAAGCATTGATTTAGGTATTAAAAAATATTTCTAACAGGCAGTCACTGACAGTACTATCCATAAAGTTACAAAATCCAGAGCTGTGAGGGCTACCCAGTAGTAGTTAAGGAAAAGTATGTTGGGAAGCAGCTGGAATTAGCCAGTAAAGAGAAACTAGCTCATTCAGTAGCCAATAGAAGTGATTAAGCAGCATCTTTGTCTTTGAAGTGGCAATTAATTGTTGCAGGAAGTTTCAGTGTAATTGCTTCTATTTGCTTCTAATTATATGGCTTTCTGCTTCATGATGCTTTGTTGACTTGTTAACACCATGAACAAAATCTATTAATAGAGTACAACTATGCAACAGTCTCTGGTAACCGTCATTCTGGTCAGGTCTGCTGGGGATGATGCACCTTCAGGCTGGGACAGAGAAGGAACAGCACCTGCCTTTACTACTAGTAGCTGTATCCAGCTGTTTGATACAGACCTTCCCTTGATCTATGGTGATAACTGAAAGTGCTGCTAGAAAAAGCTCAATAGTTAAATGGTTCCACATACTACTTTACATTCTAAAGGAACACAGTACCACCAGAGCTTGTGACCTTTTTATTGGTGTGCTTTAATAAAAACTTTTCAACTTCAGATCCCAAGAACTCTTTATAGCCACCTCTAGGCAGGGTATGGAAGGGGATTAATAGAATTCAACAGCAGTCCAGATATTGCAAGAAGATGGAACAGCCAAGGAAGTCGTTAAGTAGCACAAAGCAGTTGGTTTTACAAAACTCACATTGCTGCCCAAGAAATAGGTAATTTAGTTATAGCCTGAGAAGACAACATTCTATGACCTAAGAATCTAGATAATCACTGAATTATGTACCCTTTGCAACACAAAGGGCAAAGGACATTGTAATATAACAGAAGGCAGAGACTGTCAGAATGTAGGTGTCACACTACAGTCTGCCTGGTCAACAAAAGAAGTTATATATGGAGGCCACTAAAAGCTCAGCATCCAACTAGATCTGATTATTTCAACAGTGCTTTTGAATACTTTCACTCGCTTTGTTTGGGACAGTGTTTTTAAGTTTTTACCTTTTTTCCTCACATGTGAAGACTATGGAGGAAAATAGTTATTCATTCAGAGATGCAAAAACTCATTTATCCACAGGACTCTGAGGCTAAAGGCCTTTAAGAAAGTCATCAGCTATCATGATAGGCCAAATAGTTAAGGACACAGTCAACACCAGATCACCCACCAAACCACTACTGGTTTTTCATCCAGAAGGGAAGACTTAAGTCCTTTTAACTTTCAGATTTTCACAAAATTCCCTTCCTCCAGTAGAGGTAGTTTCCTGGTCCTGCTGCTCTGTTCCTGCAGGGCTAAATAGGTTTCAGCCTTTTTTCAGGCCTTCCACCAGTTCAGCTACAACTGAAAAGCCCTAGTGCCATATTTAAGAGATGCCAATGAACTGTGTCTCCCTTCCAGCTCTGGTAAGATGATCAAGTCCTTCAAGCAAACATTTCTGTCCCTGGACCTGAAGTCCCCTCGCTGGAGCTCAGCAGAGGCAGTGGTAACTGGAACAATACTTGTATGCTGATTTGGATAAAGTAGCTACTAACTTCTGTTAACACCTGTGAACATGTGGTTTCTGTGACTTTTGCTGCCTTTCAGGCAAAGGACTATGAACTGCGTCAGTATGAGACAGCAAAGTGGGTCAGTACAGTCATTAGGGGAGAAACCCAGAAGGAAGCAATGCGCCAGGGCTTCTGGAAACTCTTCCACTACATCCAAGGAAAGAACGAAAAAGGTAGAACATGACAGTTTTGAATTGAAAGAATTAATTAATTAATATAAATAATAATATAAATAACAATAGAGGACCCAGGAGATGCAGCTTAGACACCTGGTTTTCCTTTCCCCTAGAAATGAAGATTGATATGACTGTGCCAGTGACCTGCCTGGTAAAATCAGGCTGCACAGACTTCAAGATCTCTTTCTTTGTGCCATTTGAACACCAGGACTGCCCCCCACAGCCCACTGACTCCAATGTGTTCATTGAGGAAAGGAAGGCAGCACCTCTTTTTGTCCGGTAAGCAAAACCAGCAGCTGACACCTGATGAATCAGCCCTCCTTTAAGTGTGGACTGCATTTTCTTAAGAGATACTAAGTGTGGATACACCTTACTGTTCAGAGTTTCAATTGCTAAAATCCAGCCATTAGATCTTATGCTTGGGTGTCTTACCACAGTCAAGTGACCAAGTTATGAAACAGATTTTTTTTTTTTTTCAAGACCATTGAAAATTGCATTGATTTTCATAGATGCAGCCTCCAGAATCATCTTCTGATGACAGCTTGTTCTACAGAACATCTAAACCATTCTCCCAGCACTCTTATTTGTAGTCCTGAACTGCCACAACACATGCAGGGCAGTTGTTACCTGGGTGTTTGCTTGTTTTAAATCTTATATTTGAAAACAGACAAAATACTTGTGTTACTCAACTAACTACAAACTGCATCCAAAGTGCTCAAACTAGCTTTGCAAGTCTGAAGTTTTTGTCTGAAAATAAAGCCAGGGACTTGAACCAAAAAATTTCCCTCACTTTTACCAGGTCCTTCGGTGGATTTGCCACCCCAGAGAAATATGCTGAGGAAGCTGACATCTTGGCCAGAACCTTAAGAAACAGAGGCCAACCATTCCACGAAGACTTCTTTTACACTGCAGGCTATGACAGTCCCTTCAAGCTCTTTAACAGGCATAATGAAGTGTGGTATTTTAAAAAGTAACATGATGGGAGAATTTTAAGAGGCTACTAATCAGCTCTGGATGAAAACAGACCTTAGTATTGGCTTTTTGCTCTAGTGCAGAAGAGCATTAATTTGAATGGACACAATGTCTTTACTTTCTCTAGGACGAAGCACTCTTCTGGCTAAAACCAGTTCAAAAGGCAATTCAAGACACCAGGTGGACTGAGCAGGAAACAAACTTACTCCTCTTATTGACTATCTGAAAATAATCTTGTTGAAGTTTAGCTACATAGCTTTACTCCCTATTAGACATGCTACAGGACTAGTTGAAATGTTATGGAAAGGGAGTTCTTCCTAACTGACTTTCATAAATTGACTTTCCTCATATTGACATCACCCTTGACACCAGGGATGTATTTAAATGAACTTTTAAGAGAAGCAAGTTTCCATTAATGAGCATTAGAAAGCAATAACATCTTAGCAGATGTTTTTTAGTGACTCAAACAGTAACTGTTATTAATTAGTATTATCAAAATCTCGCACCTCTCCAACTGAACTTTTTTTCCTCCTGAAGGCCAAATGTGTTGTTTAATTCAGAACCCTTGGAAAAGGGTTACCAAGTCCAAGCTGTACACTTGATCTGAGAAGATCTGCACCTGAACACATAATAGCAGGATTACTAGTAGACTATTATGTTAGTAGCAAATAAACAAGTTTAGCTCTTCAACACTTGAAATACTCCTTAAGTTATTTAGCTTTGTCTAAATATGGTCACCTGCAGCCTGCACACCAGCAGTACTTGACACCTCAGATAAGACTAAGTGTCTAATATAGTTTAGTCCCTGCACTAAATTAAACATTTTCAATCTTAATATAGCAGACTGAAGGTGTTTTACATCAAGTTGTTGCAGCCAGAAAGGATGTCACAACACCAGGTAGGGTTTGCAGATTTTTATTGGCTCCAATCAGCATCAGGCAAACATTACCGGTGAGATAAGAACACATTGGCTTTTTTAGTGCTGTTCATGCAAGTGTAACCCATTTATGAGCAATCTTCCACCTATTAAGACAGACATAAGAATCATTATAAGGTACCAAACCAGCCCAATACACTTGATGGGAACATCTCAGACCATAGATTTTCATCTCTGTTCAGTGAGAGAGTTCAAGCTAAGGTTGTCATCACTTGTTCCAACAAATAACATTATTACAACAGTTACACTCACCTTCTCAACTCTTCATTTGCCAGTTTCAGAGTTGCCTCTTTACCTAAATTAGAAAAAAAACACAGTTTGCATACATAGCAGCACAACTGCTAAAAGCTCCACAACAGCTTTGTAACCTCAGATGGAAAAGGAACGGAAAGGGTAATATCACAGTAATTCATTTGGCAGAATCAATTTCATCAGTGGCTACAAATATTTCCAGAAGCTTTTAATTCAATTAGTTTGCTGTGTGGACTTACCCACAGTGAGGCTGCAGACAGAAGTCCCTTCCTAACAAAGAAAAGTACTTTCAGAATAACAGCAGTATTATATATGCAAAGTTTATTTATCCATTAATTTCTATTCACCAAACTATTTTACCTAAAAGGAAACTGACTTTTAGCTGGCATCTTATGAGTTCAGCTTGCAACACCCAAATAGGATACACAAAGCTTATAACTGCTAACTTAATTGGAAATACAAAACTACTAACATTGGAAGAATCAGGGACTTTTTTATTTTAATTCCTGAGTGCCATGTTACAGTAGGGCCCACAGAACAGGCACATACAATAAAGGGAAGACAAAGCAGGTATCTTATAGGACTAATTCTAGGCACCACTATTAAAGCATTCAGTGCAAAGACACTATTCCAGAAATTATTAAACCCCATGTATTCTGCACTTACCTCAGACACATCTATTTTGTTTCTTAAACTCCATTCAAGCTTCATCCTGTGAAGATGTGAAATTGTACTAGCACATTTTTGGCAGTGGTTTGAGAGTGTGTTTGTGAGTACTGTTTCAGCACAAGAGTTCTCCTCAGCCTCTTTCAGAGAGATTCCCATTGCTTAGAATTCATCACAAACAGTACATGCCAAGACCAGGTTAATGTTACATCTCTGGTTTGTCCTTTAAAGGGGATCTGACCTTGAAATTTGGGACCTTACTCCCAAAACCGTATCTTCATTCACTTCACCGTAAGAGCTCTGATCTAGCCATTGAGATAAACTATTTATCACATAAGCATTCAAGATCAGTGCTACTCCATGGAAGAGTCCACTAAATTTAAATAGCAAGTTTAATAGCAAGTAATTGTATTGCATTTGTTCAGCCCAGAATGTGTGAAACATGGTAGCATAGAGCTTTTCTTATCAAATAGGAATTTAAATAGTCTACAGCAGTTACACATTTTAAATGGTCACCACTATTTGTTTTTAGTCACAGAAAGCAGGTAATTTTAAATTTGAGATATGCAGCACCTTGGGTGAATGAATCCTACAGGCTGCTGGCAAATCTGTGAGCTTTTTACCTGGAAAGTATAATAAAATCATCAAGAACCCTGCTTAATGCTGCAGCTGCACTGTAAAGGTAAGAATCCAGTAACTTTCTCATTCCCTGTATCACACAGTTCTGAGCAGTCACTCATGTGTTAGCAACTTACTTTTGCTGGGAGCACTACCAGGTCCATCACTTCCCAGTTCCATCACACCTGGATCAAAGCAAATCATTAGGACAGTACAGAAACAAGCACAGAAGGAAGAAATTCAAGTCAGGCGCCTGCAGTCAGATAGAGCTAATTAAAGACCTCCATGATTGAAGTCAAGGCAGTCGCATCTCATCACACAGGCAGCTCACACTGTCAGCCCCTGTGCAGCCTTGCTAAAGGGCTAGGCTGCTATGGGGAAGAAGGTAAATACTTTAAATAGTGCTATCAGAGCAAATTCAAGAGCTCACAATGATGAGTTTAGCACACACCAGCCTGTAAAGACTGGGCACCAGTGAGCTGTCCCCCTTTAAAACACCCTCCTGTTTCGGCCAAGATGCAAGACACAACCAGCCTTGTCCCTTTTCCCCTAGCTGAGAAGCTGTTAAAAACTTACAAGCCTATGTTGAAGTCCTAATACTTAGAAGTTAAAACAAGTACTTACTTCACAATGAGAAACATTTGGAAGTCTGCAAAGAAGAATTTGGTATTAGGCAGGGTCCAGCAGAAGTTATAGCAGTAAGAACAGTTCAAGTAAAATACTGTATCAGGGTTTGGTCAAGTTTTATCCTCATGGGGATCAGAGACCTGATTCAACATCATTTACAGTAAGCTGCAACACTCCCATACCCCCTCTGAAAGCAGGGTGTAAAGCCATCTCCTAGCACTCTCCAACGCTGTGATATGTTCATTCCTCAACTCCAGAGTGTGCTGAAATTGCATGAAGGAGCAAACTTTGCAATTGCAAAGCTCAGTGACCTGAGCTTTGTGTATTGAAGTTGTGCATGTTAAGGAAAATAATTTCAGACACTAAATTCACAGTAATGTGGCATTCACCATTTAGTTTCAACAAGAAAATTTTACAGATCATTAACACCATAATTATTTCATGCTCTTACTCTGAAAGACAGTAAGCTAAAGGTACACTTACGGTACTAATCTTCACCTCACATTTTTTAAGAACAAAATGAATTTGCAAGATCTCTAAAAGCAATCTCTCAAATGCGGCACAGACAAAAGTAGCATCCATCTGAAAAACAAAGGTTTATTAATTACTTTTAATTAGGAAGGTCTTGTCTTCACCAACATCAGTAACAGGTTAAATAGTTTCTCACACAAGAGACATAGGGCTCCTCCATCCAGGGCAGTCCACAAAGCAACAAAAGACTTTCAGAACAAAAGACTTCCAGAACCTGGAGTACTAACACTAATTAACCTTAATTTTCCTATATTCTGTGCTTGACTTCATAACTACATCCCACTCTCAACATTTCCATTCATCTTACTCGACTTTTTTGATGTTTAACCCACTTACTGGTCTACTGAGATACTTTTAAAACACATTCATGGAACAAAATAAAGTGTTTCACCTTCAGCTTCCCACATGATTTGTTTGAAATAGCCTAAGCTACAGGAGGCTGAATCAGACAGGAGGGTTAAGACAGTAACTGTGATCACCACAGGTTATCTGCTGAACTATGCAGTCATCACACAACAGCCTTTCCAGATAGCAGGGATGAAATGAGTTCTCAGATGCCATTGATGCAGTATTTACCTTGTAACAGCTTAGTTTAATCTGTCAGTGCCTGCAACAATAGAAAACAAAATCAGATCCCTTCAGCCTTTGCACCCAAGCCCACAGCTCCTATTGGGAGACCACAAGAGCCAGATACATCAGATAGGGGCGAAGAACAAAAGTGTTCATCACAGGATATTCTGCTGAACTATGCCATCATCACTGTATCTGTGCACCAAGCAATTACCTCTTGTGACTGCTTTGACAAGCAAGTTTTCCCAATTAAAAATGTAATATTTAAAAGTTTGAATACTAGCAAGTATAAATTGTTTCTGTTCTTAGTGGAAGTTAATCATAAAATGCATCCCGTCCTTCTTACTGACATGTTTAAACAGCTCAGTGGAAGAAACCTCAACATGAAGTGCATATTTCTCACCAGGTGATGTTTCTTCTATGTATCTCTGAAGTGCAGGATTCAAGTTCTAGAAGAAAAGAACTTGTAAACAGTATATTCAGCAATCAAAGCATCAAGGGGAATTTTATGTTGTTGTGCCTCAGAAAACTGTTATGGTGGTAAAATTGCTCATCACTCTCTTGGTCAAGAGTAGCAAATAAGTGTCATCACTGTGGCACCAGAGAGATAGCTTTGCTCAAGGAATTAAGCTGTTTTCTGATATCAGAGCAGAAGATGCTAGCTAGACAAACACTAAGCACCATTTTATATTTAATTTTCAAGATTTTTTTTTTTTACCTTGGGAAGAAACAGCTTTAAGTCTCCACATTCGGGGGCAGATCTGGAAGAGATAAAAGAGTTAGAGATGTTTGCAGAACTAGGGAGCTTCTCTGGGGGAACCACATCAGAAAGCCTCAGAACTGAGTTTTCAGAAATCACTTCTGTCCACTACTCTTATACTGAAACCATCACAGGCTTTGAGATTTACTTAACATCAATCCCTGTAATTACCCATTTTAGACAACATACTCCAGGCAGTTTTTTAAAAACATTATTTATTGTTGTGAACAAAGAAACAGCAGTAAGGAAGGAAAAAAAGCGACCCAGGGGTACTCTTGTAGTCTGGTTACAGTATGAGCAGTAGTTCACAGACACACTCCAGGACAAATGAACAGGTGACTTACAGCAGAAAAGTGAGGCCTGCCCCAAGACACTACAGACAACACCTGAATTACAACTGCTGATACTGTAACTCCCTGATACAACAGTACTCCAGTCTAGTTGGTATACACAAATCCAACATTTGTTAATTTTAACGCTGTATTTCAGAAGCAACATTTACCTGTACTGAAGCCACAAGAAGGAAGAGTGTAGCTGATGCATGTTGAACTGAAAAAAACAAGAAAGCACATTAGTTTTTCTTCTCCCAAAAATAATGCAATATTCAAAACTATTACTTTCAAAAATCCAAGCAACGTCCAAAATACTTTGAGTTTGAAGATTTCCTCTGATGCAATCTGAATTTCAGCTTTTTGAAGAATTGAAAACACAAAAATTAATTGCTATTAAGTATTTTTA